CGGGGCCTTGTGGGGGCGGGGCAGGGCAGGTCAGAGGTCAGGTTGAAGTGGTCCAGCCTAGGGGGGTTATGCGGGCCGGTAGATTACTAGGGGCCTGATGGACCAGGCCTGTGGTCGAGAGAGAAAGTCAGTGGGCTGTCTGGAAAGGACAGGTCAATGGAACTTTGCAAGGAAGCAGCCCCTTACTAAATGGGGCTCCAGCGGGACTGCCTGCATCCAAATCCCTAGGAAGCCCTTTGCCTAAAATGCCAGTTCCTGGGCCTCACCCATTCTGCAGATCCTGGGACAGAAGGTTGTATTTTAAGAAGCACCCCACTGCACCACTGTGGGTGCAGAGACTACCACCAAAGTTTGAAGAAGCACTGATCAGTGTAGCAGATGGCCTTTGTATGTCTCTGGCCCGTCCTAAAGGAGATTGATTCTGCCTCTTTGGGAGTGGACATTGAGCAGGTTTAGTGTGGCGCTTTACTGGAAATGTGTCCCTGGGCGGCTGCTTGAGGTGCAGAGGAGGAGCGCGGTGTGAAATGAGGGTCTTCGGTGTCTTTAAGGGGATGAAGGATGGGTAAAGTAGGGCTGGGGGTGAGAGTTAGAATGCAGCCACTGAGGCCCTTCACCTGGTTAACAATGGCAGGACTGGCTACATAGTGTTGCCCAGGCCACAAGGGTCCCTGGGGCTTTGTGTGGCAAGCAGGCTTGGCCTGTGTGTGTGGCCTGCAAGAGCAAGCAGGACAGTCACCTATTGTAGGGTTTTAGGTGCATTGAGGTGTGCTTTCTGTCTGAGACCTTTGAATTTTCGAGAGCTCAGTGTAATTAGGGTATTTGGGAAGGAATAGGCTTTGTGTGGATTGTCTGTACTGGCAAATTCATTTCCCTTTCTAAAATGCCATTTCTCTCCTTCCCCTGAGTGCGTTCTGGGGCTGCTGTGCTTATGGTTGTCAGTGTTGGGTTATAAATAGTTTCCACTCATCAGGTGAGGCTAGGATCTCTCCTACTTCAAGACCTCATATGCACAAACCCCTTTGTTTGTTTGAAGACGATGCTTTGCTTCAGATCTGAGAGTAAGACAAACAGCAAGGGCTGGTGCTCACATGTGGCCGGTCTTGCTTAAGATTTCCAGCCAGCAGAAATCATACAGTGATTGTACCTTAGTGATTGTACCATACATTTGTACATGCTCACAGACATCTTGACACAGTCTTAATCTCGTTTAGCTTAGTATCTACACTTTACAGTTGAGCAAAGTTGAGACTCTTGCAAGGTGTCTTCTCAAGGTCACATGGGTGGGCCTTGTGACTCTCAATTTAGTGCTCTGTCTACTGTATCAAGCTGACAACCACTGGTGTCAGTCCCCGTGATCTCAGTCCTGAACATGTCAGTCATTTACCTTTTGTAATTAATTTAAAACTTCACCTTACAAACACTGAATTAAATAGCCTGACTGATTATATTGGTGCTGCTTTGTGTTCCCAGCACTGAAGAGGTAGAGGCAGGGGGATCACTGGTTCAAGGTCATCCTCTGCTGTACATCAAGTTTAAAGTCAGCTTGGGCTTCATGAGACCCTGTCTCAGAAAACCAGAAAAAAATTAGTTTAATTGCTTTGGTCAGGCAAAATGTGGAACTTCCTGTTGCTTGCCGTTCGTAAGGCTGCTTTTTTAATCTCCTCCCTTCTCTTACCTCTTTTGATCCCAAGTGACACCACCCAATGGGTCCAGTCATCTCTCAGCAGAATATGGAGTCAGACAAGCAGGGAAACCATCTAGCCCACCCAGCCCATAGGCTGGGATTTTTGTTGCTTCCCAGTTGTTTTTAAATCAAAGCCTGGTTTAAAAAAAAAAAAAAAAGCAGTCGTAGGAATTCAAGTTAAATCATATTAGAAACCATGAGCGAGTTCTGTTTGTGAGAACCTCCATCTCACTGAGTCTGGTCATTTTTATTGAGACTAATCGGCTGCCTTTTGGTTGTCTGGTCTTGGGGCCCAAGCATGACTGCTTTATCTCCAACATAATAATATTTGATTTCTTTTTTTTTTCACTTCTAAATCCAGAGTTCAAAGTTGTCTCCCTCAATTTTGAAAACCCATTATGAACTTGTCATGATTTTATCTCCCACTTCTTTGATTTCCTTTGTCACTTTGATTTCCTTCTCATCTTGTCATGTTTTTCTGTTTTTTTTTAATTTTTTTGATTGTTCTCTTGGATATCTATGTGCATAACCTCTCAGACAAGTGGGATCTGATCTTCACTAATTGATTAGCTTCACTTTGAGTAGAAACAGTCTGTCTTCTTCAGCTTCACTCATCTCCATCCTCCTAGGAAATCTGTCTCCAGTCTTTCTGCTTATTCAACGTTAACAGCCTTCTGAACTGGTTGCTCTGAAAAGAGCTCCAAGTCGTCTCAGTGAGTATAACTGAAGCCAGTGAGTCTGAAAATCCAGTACCCTCCAGTCATAATACAGGCTCCCATACCCACTGTGTACGTAGCCCTTTTGTTGGCCCCTGAAATCTATAACAATCAGACTCAATCCCTACCCTCGGTGAGCTCACGGCAATAAAGAATGTGTGCTGTGTACTCAGTAGTAGTCATTTTCATATGTTACCTCTAATCTTTGAGAAAGAATGTCTTTACCCTTATTGACAGTGAGACACACGGAAGCTCAGGTTAAATAACATGGATCAGGTCACATGTCCCACTGAAGACATAGCTAGAGGGACTGGGACAGGGGAACCCAGAAGTTATTGCTAGAGGACCTCAGCCCTCACCATACTAAGATATCAGGGAAGGTCAGAAACACCACTTCCTTCCATGTAGACTCTCCTATTCTGCATTAGCTGTGGGACCACCTCAACTCTCAGAATATGCAGCTAGCATTCCAGAAAGGCCAGACACAGAAGAGAATGTAGTGGCACCCCCAGAAGAGACCAGACACAGAAGAGAATGGAGGGGCCCCCCCAGAAGAGCCCAGCCTGTCTGTTTCAAGCACCTGGTTATAATGGGAAGACAGGACATGCTCTCGAAACATGTATATGGGGTATGGATTGAAACAGGCCTCTGAGAAAGATGGGACTTCTCTGGGACGCACTGTCCCCCTCCTGGGATGAATTAGTTACTTTCTTGTGTGGTGTCTCATCATAGATTTTGTTTGCAGATAAGGAAAAGGGGAAGGAAAAACTGGAGGAGGACGAGTCGGCAGCAGCCAGTACCATGGCCGTCTCTGCCTCCCTCATGCCACCCATCTGGGACAAGACCATCCCCTATGATGGCGAGTCTTTCCACCTGGAGTACATGGACCTGGATGAGTTCCTGCTGGAGAATGGCATCCCTGCCAGCCCCACCCACCTGGCCCAGAATCTGCTGCTGCCTGTTGCAGAGCTTGAAGGGAAGGAGTCTGCCAGCTCTTCTACAGCATCTCCACCGTCCTCCTCTACTGCCGTCTTTCAGCCCTCGGAAACCGTGTCCAGCACAGGTTGGTGACAGGCCTTTGGGAAGGCCCCCCTGTCTCATCTAAGGAGCCCACTTCCCACTAAGTTCTCCTGTGTCCACACTCTCTGTGTCCCCTCTTTCTTTCAGAAGCAGGTCCCATAGTCTACAGTACTGACCGTAGGCTGGGGATAAAAATGTAGGTACACATTGGTCTTCCTCTGCTGGGCACTGCACATGCTTGGGGTGGTGGAATGAGCTCCCAGGCTGCCACTTGCAGAAGAGAAGTCCCATTCTGCAGTTGATACTGTTCTTTTATGGCAATAGTATTTTGGCCACAGATTCTTGTGAGATTTAGGCGATGTTATTAAACACCAGTGTCATTACCATTCTGACTGTAAGTGCTAACTAACAGTTAGGACTTACTCTGTGCTGGACATTAACAAAAAGTCATCAAGATGATCTTATGAGGTTATTTGTACTACTATCCCTGTTTTGTAGATGAAGAAACTGAGGCACAGAGAAAGTAAGAAACTTGCCCAAGTCACCTAGCTGGCATGTACTCAAGTAGCACTTGGACCCAGGATGCTTGTCTGCATAGGAATGTACTGCTAGGCACTAGCACAAATGCCCTTCCCACTGCTCCAAAACTTATCTTCAGGACCTGAAACACCTTTTACTGCTGTGGTTTGCATGTTGGGTTTTTTGGTTTGTGTTTTCATATCTGAGCATAAGATATGAAACCAGGAAAGATGTGTCCCCTGTTTGAGAAGCCACACAGTTTCTGCAGCCTCAGAGACATGATGGCATATGTCCCAAGGGATTCACACCATGAAGCTCTCATGGTGTGTTTCTGTTTAACTTTTCAAAAGGGAAGTTGCTGGGTGTTGGTGACTCAAGCTTTTAATCCCAGCACTAGAGAGGCAGAGACAGGCGGATCTCTGTGAGTTCGAGGCAAGCTTGGTCTCCAGAGCGAGTGCCAGGATAGTCTCCAAAGCTACACAGAGAAACCCTGTCTGGAAAGCCAAAAAAAAAAAAAAAAAAAAAAGAAGAAGAAGAAGAAGACGTTGGAGTGCATATCACTAGTACAGCATTTAATTATATATCTAAAATATTAAGGTCCCCTTTTTAGGTTTGTTATTTTTAATTATGGGAAGCAGGTGAGTGCACACATGCACACACAAGTGCTTCTGTGGAGCCTAGAAAAGAGCGCTGTGTCTCTTAGAGCTTGAGTCTCAGGATGCTGCGTGTTGTCTGACATGGGTGCTGGGAACTGAACTCAGGTCACCTAGAAAAGAGCACTGTGTCTCTTAGAGCTTGAATTTCAGGATAATGTGTGTTGTCTCACATGGGTGCTGGGAACTAAATTCAGGTCAACTTCCAAAGCAGCATTGTATCTCTGTGGTCTCAGTACAAGAGTTCCAAAATAAGAAGATTTGGTGTCATATAACTATAATTCTTGTTACTCAGAAGGCTGAGGCAGGAGGATCACAAGTTCAAAGCTAGTCTAAATAACATAGGGAGACCCCCATCTTAAAAAATAGAAAAGAGGGACCAGAGATGTAGCTTAATGGCAGAGTGCTTGTTTTGCATTCAAAAACCTTGGGTTTGGACTGGAGACATGGTTCGGTGGTTTAGGGTGATGGCTGCTCTTCCAGAGGACTCAGGTTCAGTTTTCAGCACCCACATGGTGACTCATGATTGTAACTCCAGTCCCAGGGAATCTAATACCCTCTTCTGGTCTCTGTGGATACCAGGTATGAATATGGTATATGGAAAAACACACATACACATAAAATAAATAGTTTTTAAAGCCTTGGGTTTCTTTCTCAGCACCGAAAATAAATTTTAATTAATTAAATAAAAATTGAAGATGGAGGAAATGGGTAGGAAAGATGACTCAGCCATTAAGAGCCCTTATTGTTCATACAGAGAACCTGAGCTTGGTTCCCAACACCCACATTATGGCTCACAACCCTCCATAACACCAGTTCTAAGGGATCCAACGGGCATGCACATGGTGTATATGACATATATGCAAGTAAGTCACAGAGCTCTGCCTGCCTCTGCCTCCTGAGTGCTAGAAATAAAGGCATGTACCACTGTGTCCAGTCTAAGGAAGGATTTTTTTTTTTAATGAGCATTGGTGTTTTTGCTTGCACATGTGTCTGTGTGAAGACTTTGGAACTCCTGGAGTTGCAGTTACAGACAGTAGTAAGCTGCCACATGAGTGCTGGGAATTGAACCCAGGTCTCTGGAAGAGCAGCCAGTGCTCTTAACCACTGAGCCATTTCTCCAGCCTCTAAGGAAGGATTTTTAATGAAGTATGTGTATTTAGTGTAGAGCTCAGTGGATCCTCATAGGCTGAAACATCCATCTCAACACTGCCTAGATCAGGATGCAGAACTATGCTGGTATCCATTGAATGCCTTGTGACTCTGGGCACTCATCTTCTGAGAGATAATCACTATTTATTTGTATCACCAAAGATTACATTTTCTAATAGCGTCTTATCAATAGAATTGTCCTCTGTTTTGTTTTTAAATATTACAAGTGGGCTCCCAACACTCAGGAAGTAAAGACAGGATTGTCACAACTTTGAGATAAGCCTGATTTATAAAATGATTTATAGGCCGGGTAGTGGTGACACTTGCCTTTAATCCCAGCACTTGGGAGGCAGAGGCAGGCGAATCTCTGTTAGTTCAAGGCTGGCTAGCCTAGTATACAAAGTGAGTTCCAGGACAGTCAGGACTGTTACACAGACAAATTCTGTCTCAGAAAAATAAAAAAATTAAAATAAAATGAGTCCTAGGCCAACCTGGGCTGCATGGTGAGTTCCAGGACCACCAGCCAGAGTTACATACAGGGACCCTGACTCAAAAAATTATTTATTGATAGGGGCAACAAGATGGCACATCAGTAGGGGTGCTCGCCATCTAGCCTGAATACCTTATGGGAGAGAACTGACTTCCACAAATTGTCCCCTGACCTCCATTTTTGTACAGAGACATGTGTGAAGATGGGCATGTTCATACACATACACATAAATACATAAATGCTCAAAAAGAATTGAACAGAGGATACAATGCACTGGTCAGGTGTTTGCCTTGCATTGGAGAGTCCCAGGTTTAATTTCCAAAACCATACATATACACACACAATATTAATTTTAAGTTTATTGCACTACTACTCATATTTATAACTTTATACAGTTTTATAATACACATGTAAATTATATGGGCATTATAATGTCTTAATACTAGTAAAATGCCAGGCATGGTGGTGTAGACCTTTAATTCTAGGTCTTGGAAGGCAAAAGCAGCAGATCTCTCTGAGTTTGAGGCTATCCTGGTCTACTGAATTAGTTATAAGACATCTAGAGCAGCCCTAGCACAGGATGTTGTGGTAGACTTTGGGGAGCCCCTTTTGAGGGCCTTACCCTGCCTGGGGAGTGGAGGGGGGATGGGTAGGGGCAGGTGGGATGTTGGGGGGGAGGGGAGGAAGAGGGAGAAGGAATTGACATGTGAAGCAAGCTTGTTCCTAATTTGAACTAATAAAAGAATAAAATAAAAGAAACAAAAAAATACATCTAGAGCTATATAATAGAGACAGACATTGTCTTGAAAACTGAACAAAGCCAGGCGTTGGTGGCGCACGCCTTTAATCCTAGCACTCGGGAGGCAGAGGCAGGCAGATCTCCGTGAGTCCGAGGTTAGCCTGGTCTACAGAGCGAGTGCCAGGATAGGCTCCAAAGCTACACAGAGAAACCCTGTCTCAAAAAAACAAAAAAAAAAAAAACTAAACAAAAATAGTTTTACAGAACATGCTAAGTGGAAAGCTGGATGTGTTAGTCTATACCTCTAATCCCAGTTCTCAAGAAACTGAGTGAGGCAGGAAGATTGCCATGAATTGAGGCCAGCCTGTGCTACATAGAAAGGCAGAAAACCAGGCAATGGTGGCACATACCTAATCTCAGCACTGGAGAAGCAGAGGCATGCAGATCTCTGAGTTCAAGGCCAGCGTGGTCTACAGAGCAAGTTCCTGGACAAGCTTCAAAGCTACACAGAGAAACCCTGTCTCAAAAACAAAATAACAACAAAAAAGAAAGTGGAAGTCTTTAATTTTTCCATTCATTTTATAGAGAATATAAAATGTGTGCTTTTGTGTCTGACTTCCTTCATACAGTATTTTTGTGAAAGTCATCTTGTCACTGTGGGAAAGGTTTGTGAATTTTCTTTGGTGAATAATACTGAGTGAACATACCACAGTTTAGCCATTCTGCTGTTGAAGGACAGTGGAGCTCACTATATAGTCTAGATGGGGCTCTAAACAATGCTGCTATGAACATTTGTGTGTGTGTCTCCTGGTAGATATGTGCATGTATTTCTCTTTGGCATTTACTTAGGAATAGACTTCATGAGTCGGTGAACATACAAATCTTCATTGTCCTCTACCACCTTCAACAGGGTCTTCTATGTAGCCCTGGCTGTCCTGGAACTCACTGGCCTCAAACTCAGAAATCCACTTACCTCTGCCACCTGAGTGCTGGGATTAAAGGCATGTGCCACCATATCCATCATTACTTATTTTACTAATATCAGTGTTGCCTGTGTGTATATATGTGTATCAGATGCATAAAGTGCCCACAGAGGTCAGAGGAGGGCATTAGATTCTCTGGGACTTGAGTTACAGACAGCTGTGAGTTGTCATGTGGTTGATAGGTGCTGAACCTAGATCCTCTGCAAGAGCAGTAAGTGCTCTTAACCACTGAGCATTAGGACTCACAGACACAGACAACACATATATACACACTTGTGTGTGTGTATGTGGGGTGTCTTATGTACATAGCAAGTGATGACCTAGAGTTTCTGATCCTCCTGCCTCTACCTCCCCAGTGCTGGGGTTATAGGCTTATACCACCACACTCAACCTAATTCAATTGAAAACCTAAATTTGATTATGCTACATTTGTGCTATGAACATCCCAGTGACTTCCTCATTTCAAGAGAAAAGTCTGTATCAGCAACATGGACATTTAGGGCAGATAACTTTGGGAGGATTGTAGAAATAGCTTTGCTTTTAATTTTGATGTCTTCTGTGTTGTGGGGTGTGTAGCAGCCTTCATTATACCAGTTGCACCCTGGAATCTTGATGTGGCCTAATATTTCCTTCAGGGCAAACTTGTCCCCTGTTAAGAACTATAGCATTGCAGTATTGTGGTGGCACACATCTTTAACCCTAGCACTACTGAGACAGAGGCAGGTGATTCTCTTGAGTTCAAGGCCAACCTGGACTATAGAACAGCCAGGACTACAGAAAAGCCAGGACTACACAGAGAAACCCTGTATCAAATATATATATGGCTTTAGCCTCTCTGTTACACTGTATTGTCTCTGTCAGCAGTCTACCAGAGATATAATTTATATTCAATAACTATCTGTTGGCTCAATATTTGGTGTACTCCTATTGGTAGCATTGAACTTGTAGGCCAGGGGTTCGGTTTTCTTTTAACACAACTCTTATCTCAACACACAACCTTTGAACTCTAAAATTGACATTAACCCAATGTTTACCTATAAATCAGCCAGCCATATGAAACAGGAAAAGCAAGGAGCCAGAGTTAGTCAGGCCAAGAGTAACATCTTACTTCATTTATTTACCTGTGGGTTTCTTGAAAGCCAGTTGCATTTATCTGAGCCTTGGTATGCTTTTCTGTAAAATAAGTTAACACTCATTTCCTTTCACAGCAACTGATGTGGGGGACTCAAAAACAGAACCAGGCCAGCTTCAGTCTGTGTCCCCACCCCACTGTTGCTCACGGAGAAAGCCAGCTGTTTCCATTCTTGGAGAACTTGAGACACAGGAGGTTGAGGGGTATAAAAATTCAGTGTTTTGCTTACAATTTCTCGGGGAAACAAAACATTTAGAAAATCCTATCCATTTTCAGGGACTCTGTTTTCTTCAGTGTGTTCTGTTCTAAAGGGGAGGAATTCATGCACTGCAGGTGAGTCAGTGGTTGAACTCATGCTGAGTTTGTGTGGGGCCTGGGTTTGATCCACAGCACACAAAAATGGTCAGAGTCATCTTAGATATTGAATCACATGGGCCTATCCGTCTGTCTGCCTGCCTGCCAAAGGCCTGGTGATGTGCTTAAGTGGCAGTGGTCTGTGGAGCCTCCAGGTGTCTGGTGGGACAATGTGTACCTTCTCTGCCCAGTGAGTTGCTTCTAGATCTTCCACTCTGCCTTTCAGAATCGTCCTTAGAAAAGGAGAGGGAGACTCCAAGTCCCATTGACCCCAACTGTGTGGAAGTCGATGTGAACTTCAATCCTGACCCTGCTGACCTGGTCCTCTCCAGTGTGCCAGGTGGGGAGCTTTTCAACCCTCGGAAGCATAAATTTGCAGAGGAAGACCTGAAACCCCAGCCCATGATCAAAAAAGCCAAGAAAGTCTTTGTTCCTGATGAACAGAAGGTAAAAAAAAAAAAAAAAATCCTTTATTAAAGAAAGACACAGCAGTGGTTTGAGAGTCTAGGGTAAGCTGTGGCATAGCTTAGCAGTGCAAGTCAATGGCTCAGTGGCACATCTCAGTGGCATAGCTCAGTGGTACAGTGCTTGCCTGGGAGAGCTGAGACCCTGGGCTCCATCTCTAGCACTTAAAAGAAAAAGAATCTGAGTGTGGTGGTGCCACGTGTCTCTGCCTCCTGAATGCTGGAGTTAAAGATATCTGCCTCCACCACCCAGCGCTCTTTCTCCCCCCAACCCCTCTCTCTCATTTTTTGAGACAGAGTTTCTGTGTAGCCCTGGCTGTCCTGGAACTCACTTTGGTGCTTCCTCTTAGGTGATTGTTTTATGGAGAATCCTTCTACTATGGGTGCCACAGGAGTTCTGTGCTTGGAGCCACATCAGCAATAATTTGATGTGAAGAAATGGCTAGGTGTGGTTTGGCCCCAGTGACTCTCATAGTTCCATTATTCCCAGAGCCTCAGGGTTAGTGTTCCACCTCCCTGCCATCAGGAAGAGAAGTTGCTGGACAACAGTTTTAAAGGACAAAAGATACCTTGTAGGGCTGGGAGATGGCTTAGAGCAGTGGTTCTCAACCTTCCTAATGCTGCAGCCCTTAAATTCAGTTCTTCATGTGTGGTGACCCCAAACATACAATTATTTCATTGCTACTTCATAAATAATTTGGCTACTATTAGGACATAATGTAAGTATCTGTGTTTTCCTATGGTCTTAGGCAACTCCTGTGAAAGGGTTGTTTGGCCCCGCCAAGGGATTGCAACCCACAGGTTGAGAAATCCTGGTTTAGTGGATAAAGCATTTGCCACAAAAACATGAGAACCTGAGTTTGCCAAAAAACAAACAAACAAACATTAGAAAGTTGTAACAAGTAGTATGTGTCTGTAATTCCAGTTTCTTACTGGGAGAAGGGAGGCAGGGGCAGGAGAACTGGGAACTCTGGGCCACCTATCTTGCCAAACACAACAGTGAGCAACAGAGACCCTGTCTCAAACAAGGAGACGGTGAGGACCAACACCCAAAGTTATCCTCTTAATGTCCATGCATGCACCATTGGGGCATGCACCTACTCTCTCCTTTCCCACACCTCTTTTTCTTGCATGGTCTTGTAGAGTCAGACTGGATCTTGAGGGACTGCAACTAGCTTGTTGGCTTTTAACCACCACTAAGCATGGTGTGGTAGCACAAATCTTTAATCCCAGCACTTGGGAGGCAGAAGCAAGCAGATTGCTGGGAGTTCTTGAACAGACAAAGCCATATAACAGAAGGATCCTATCTCAGAATGAGAGAGAAATGTTAACCAATATGCTTAAAGGAGGCAAGGAACAGAGCAACACACGCCTGTCAAGGCACTCTTGCCCCCACCATGCAGCCTGCCTCTCTAAAGACAGGACAGTATGTTGTAGCACTCAAGAGAAAGATGCCCTGTGACAGAGTTCAAGTGAAGGGTTTTTTTGTTTGTTTGTTTTTAGGGGGCCTGGGAGGTTGTTTGAGACAGGGTTTCTCTGTGTAACAGCCCTAGTTGTCCTGGAACGCACTCTGTGGACCAGGCTGGCCTTGAACTCAAGAGATCTGCCTGCCTCTGCCTCCCGAGTGCTGGTATTAAAGGCAAGGACCACTACTGCCCTGCCATTAGGGAAAAGGATCATAAAAAGGGGGAAAGGGAGAGAGGAGACCGCCCTCCAGGGACAGGAGCAGTGGGAGAAATCAAAGAGAGGCAGAGGGAGAGAAAACAGACATAGGGAGAGAAAGAGAGGAGGGTGGGAGGTAGGCAGGGCCCTTTTAAAAGGGAGTGTAGTGAATGTGCACAGGTGGTGCTCTTAGTGCTTATGCTGTCAGAACCCCAAGGACAGGCTAGTACAGATGCCTGAATACTAACACAGTGCTCACAGTATTCCTTCTCTAGGGTCTTCATTCTTACCACAGCGTTGAACTGTATGGTGGGGGGTAGACCTGGTGGGGTCGGAAGGAAATATTAGGTTCCCTCAGGGAGAACACCAGACACCCACAGAGGGTGCTTTTCCACAGGATGAAAAGTATTGGACAAGACGCAAGAAGAACAATGTGGCAGCGAAACGGTCCCGGGATGCCAGGCGCCTGAAGGAGAACCAGATCACCATCCGGGCAGCCTTCCTGGAGAAGGAGAACACAGCCCTGCGGACGGAGGTGGCTGAGCTTCGCAAGGAAGTGGGCAAGTGCAAGACCATCGTGTCCAAGTATGAAACCAAGTACGGGCCCTTGTAACCTGTGCCCCTTGCCCCGCAGGGCACTGCCTGCACTTCAGACCTCTGCCTGGGGCTTCCTGGACCCCACACTCGTGTGGAGACTTAGGACTCTTCATGGGCACATGGTGGAGTACTTGCTCTAGGAGCATTGATGTCTCAGCTTCATTATAACATGGCCAGCACATGTGGTGACTTCCCCAGGGCACCAGGCTCCTCTCTGATGGGGAACCCGAGCGAATCTACGTAGACAGGTAAATGGCCCAAGTTTCTCTTCTTGGATGTCCCAGCTGAATCAGAAGGGACCTCTGGAGTCCAGATCTCTCTTTACAGAGTGCTCAGGCTTTCCTAGCCTTCCCTCAGTCTCCAGCCTGGACTGACAAGGGCTGTCTCCAGAATGAGTCATGATTGTTGTCACCCTAATGTCTCAGGTAGCAGGTGCATTTCCACTTGGGGTATGTCTGTCATGCACCTCACTCTTCCCCAAAAAATCTTTGAGTGAAGCATTCATTCCCATCTGTCTCAGAGCCAGGACATGCTAATACTCTGTTAGTGATGGAGGGTGGTGGGCCATGAGAGTGAGGTCTCTACTTAGCCTGGAATTTGGGTGGGGTTGGGGGTTACAGCAGAAGTATACCCCACTATTCTTAGCTCTCACATCCCTTTATCTTGTGGCTTCCTCCTCATCCCACTTGCTATGGAAGAGACATTCCCAGGTTTCTGGGCTCCAATTGCCAGCACCTAGGGAGACCTTTGTATTTCCAGGCCAGTCTGGAGTTTCCTGACTTCTGCTTGCCTGGCCTCTGGTTATTTTCACCAGATCTTAGGTTTAAAAAGAAACCCCATCACCTAGGAGTGACCCAGGGTACCACTTCTGCATGGTATTTAGGAAACTGGCCTCCACAGTCTCCTGTTGTAGGCACCAGAGTGAGGGGCTGTCACTTGCAATGCTCCATTTGTTCCTCTCTCTGGCTCACTGATGTGTCCCAGGCCAGAATCCAGTCTCCCTGAAGGCAGCAGAGGGCCATTTACATGGCAGATCAGAACCACTCCCCATGAGTGTCAGGGAGCAACCTTATAGGGAGTTGCACTCACCCAAGTCACAGTACAGCTCTCATAGGACAGCAGGCTCTGGAGACATTTACACTGGCCTGGAGTCCCTCAGTCTTGGTCTCAGGAGTCAGGGGCTGCCCACACAAGTCTGGCCATGAGGTTGAGTGATTCTTACAGTTTTGGCTTCCTCTGCCTCACAGCTGCACCTTTCTCTTCTGTTTGGCTGAACTTGTCTTCTTGCTCTGCCCAGAGAATTGGCCAAGGACATCATGGAACCCTCTGCTCATGTGGGTCAGTTAGGGCACCCTCCAGGAGGGTGTGTTTATTTGCTCAGGGCGGGCAGCCTATGTGAAGGAGACAGAGGTGACGAGGGTGCTTTACTATCCTTAACACTGGCTTTATTTTAAATGGTGGCTTAGTTTGGGGCCCCAATCTTTCAAGACTTTTTATAATGATGTTAAGACCAGGGCAAACTATCTATTGGCCATGGACTGCAGCCAGTAGGTGCCCTGCCCCTCATGGGACCTGCACGCAACCTCTTGACAAGGGTCCCTGAGGCCAAGGGAGGTCTCCCTTCTACTAGGTCCCTGACTTTGACTTTGTGGTTCTGTAGGAACCATGTGCGCACTTGTCACTCTATTGTAACCACAAAGGGCAGTTGCACCCAGCATGTCAGTGTCCTGCCCTGGCTGCCTGCCTCCCACCCTCTTGGCACTCTCTGGGCCGGCTCTTCACCCAGAGGCAATTCTCACTTCATTAGTGGTGGACAAGCCTTGAGCTGAAAGGCTCTTCGTTCTCTTTGGCTAGAAAATGTAAGGTTTGTGTTTTTTAAGTTTTAGTTTTTAAGGAATGGATACTTATCTCTGGATGCCACCTGTGTTCTGACCCCCATGGGTGGGTTGGGGCTTAATGTCTCCTCTTTGGTCCTACCTTCTGCCTTGTGGTGCCCTCCTTTCCTTCTAGAAGTTGGGGGTCTAGATCCTCCTAAAGTGCTTACTTAGAAAAAGTGTGGCTGCTTGCTTCTTGGAGAAGCCTTTTGAATGAAAAGCAGCAGGTGCAGGAAGGAGCATGCCTGGAGGTTGACATCTTGGAGCAAAAAAGTGTTCACATAAGCTCAGCTCCTCTGTTGGCCTTAGGACCCACGGCTGTGCAGAGATCTCTGCTGTTCGTCTTGCCATGAAAGTCTCCTGATTCCCTCCAGGAGCTCATGGCTGAAGCCTGAGGCTCCTGGACTCAGATCTTTGACATTTTCTAAAGAATAGCAGGCTTGAGAATCCAACTTCTATTTGGCTCTCCATGGGTTCCCCTTGGGATGAGAAGTGCTGCCACTTCCTAAACATCCTGTCCTCAGCTGTGGCAGGGTGCCAGAAACCTCAGAAAAGACATATGAATGAGATAGGATGTTACAGGAATGTACGTCCAAGAAATGTCTAAAAAAAGAACTACACATTTGGAGAGAGCCAGCAGCCCTGTGGAGGACCTGCCTGAGTAAGGCTGAGTTCTGTGGGTCTGACTCCCTTGGTTGAGGACAGTACTAGGCAGTAAATCTGACCCCCAGTCCACACTCCCTGCTGAAAGGGTACTATGGCCTGCTTTCCACTCAGGCAGCTCCTGCAGTCCTCCAGCCTGGGGACAGATGTGAAGCTCTCCAATGGCCCTGAGAAGTATGCTCCCTATAAGGAGGGGCCTTGGAGCTCCTGGTTTCCAGGGCCAAGCCCCATCTACAGCTTCTTTAACATCTGTTAAGTGCAATAAATTTTTCTAGAAAAAGGCAAAGGTGATTTCCAGGTAGAGATTGCTGTCTTTTGGTATTGGGATGCCAGAACACCACTTGGTTTTATTTTTCTAAGTGCATGTGATTGGTTGAGTGTGTGGGGCTCTGCATCCTCCTCCCTGGGAGCCGCATTCCAGCGGCCCCTCTCCCTAACTTTGTTGGGGGAAAGAGGCTAGGAGAAAACCCCTTTGTCCCAGCTGCAGAGGTAAAAGCAGACAGCAGCCCATTGGCCTTATGTGTGTGTGTGTGCCTGTGCGAATGTGTCACTGCTGGTGGGCCGGAGTGATGTGATAGGGAGGGAAGTTGGGAATGTATCCTTTTCAAACAAAATTAAATATTTTGAGACGAGAGTTTGGCAATGGTCTTTTATGTTATCTCCTCCTCTGTTTCCTTTCTCTGTATGTTGGCATGAGAACCAAGCCAGAAAACTTTCTCTTTGGAAACACCTCTGTTAATACCAGAGTCACCTTACTCCTCTGTCGCTCAGTTTCTTCACTTGTCAAATCAGTGTAATTCCTACCCTGTTTTCTGACATACATCAAAGCAAAGAGAGTTTCTACAGACCGATACAAGCAGTAAAAAGGCCAGGAACTCAAACCATAATGGCAGCTGTTTAAAACAAGAGCACCTAAAAGTGTACATTCAATTCCTAGCACCCATTTCCAGCTTAGAACATCTGGAACTCCAGCTCCAGGGGAGCTCTCCTGGCTTCCGTGTGCTCGAACATGAATGCACACACATAAATAAACACTGAAATAAATCTTAAAAGCCTGCTGGGTGGTGGTGCACACCTTTAAACCCAGCACTCAGAAAGCAGAGGCAGGTAGATCTCTTCGAGTTTGAAACCAGCTAAAGAGCAAGTGTCAGGACAGCCAGGGATGGCTACACAGAGAAACCCTTCCTCAAAAAAAAATTTTTTTTTTAAATTGGGGGGTGCCGGGCGATGGTGGCGCACTCCTTTAATCCCAGCACTCAGGAGGCAGAGGCAGGGGGATTTCTGTGCGTTTGAGACCAACCTGGTCTACAAGAGCTAGTTCCAGGACAGCCTCCAAAGCCACAGAGAAACCCTGTCAAAATAAATAAATAAATAAATAAATAAATTTGGGGCTGGAGAGATGGCTCAGAGGTTAAGAGCACTGACTGCTCTTCCAGAGGTCCTGAGTTCAATTCCCAGCAGCCATATGGTGGCTCACAACCATCTATAATGAGATCTGTTGCCCTATTCCGGCCTGTAGGCATACATGCAGGCAGAACATTGTATACATAATAAATAAAAAGCTTTAAAAAAAATCCAAAGCTGAATGAGGTGGTTGAGTAAGTAATCCCAGCACTTCTCTCCTGAGATGGGAGAATTGCTGGAGAGCCAGCAGGTGAACTAGCCCAGTGGAAATGGGAGAGACCCTGACTCAATTGGGTGGGAGGTAAAAACTGACTAGTTGAATTGTCTTCCAACCTCCACATGCATGCTGTAGCATGTGTGTCACCTATGTTCTCACACACATACACCATAATGATAATACATAAAAAATTTTAAAGTCCTATGCATTTAATCCCATCTCTTAGGAGGCAGAGGCAAGCAGATATCTGTGAGTTCAAGGCTACCCTTGTCTACATAGTTCTAGGACAGCCAGGACTATACACAGAAACTATGTCTCAAAAACAAAACAAATAAATAAATGTAAATAGATAAAAAGTAAAAGGGATGTTAGCTACCTGACCTGAGTGCTGGCAAAGGAGTCCAGGTCCTCTGCAAGAGCAGTAAGAACTCTTAACCACTGAGCCATCTCTATAGCCACCAGATTTTGACTTAAGAGACAACTGTTACTATATAGCTCCAGCTGGCCACCACCTCCACAGATTTCTATCATCATAATCAACCGCCCTTTTTTTTTTTTTTTTAAATTGTGATCCAGGCAGCAGGCAGTGGGGCACCCTGTGAGCCTCTGCTTACCTTCCACCAGTGGGGTGTACTGCAGGCTGACTTTCAGGGGGCCTGGCTAGTGGAGGAAAAGGCTTTGATCTGCTGCTTCCAGCTATGCTGCTTCTCAGCACATAAAGTACCTCACTTTCCTGTTCCACCCTCAAAACACTCTAGGATGGAATCCTTGTTTAAAGAGGAAGAAAGCTGACTCTGAGTGTGAGGCCAGCCTGGTCTACAAAGGGAGCTACAGGACAGCCGCAGTATGTAGAGAGACCCTGTTTCCAAAAAAAAAAGGGGGGGGGACTGGGATAGGCATGTAACTCAGCAGGGCTTGCCCGGTGTGCTTGAGGCTAGGAGTTCAATCCCCAGTGCTGAAATAAACATTACAGAAGAAGAAATTTAAGCTCAGAATTGCTCAAGGTCTCTCCCACATACTATCAGAGCTGAGATTCTAACCTCAGATAAACAGCCTCGGGTCCTGAGGCTTCATAACCTTAAGACCTTTGACTTCTTTTTTTCTTTTTCTTTTTTTTTTTTTTTCGAGGCAGGGTTTCTCTGTGTAGCTTTGGAGCCTATCCTGGCACTCGCTCTGTAGACCAGGCTGTCCTGGAACTCACAGAGATCCACCTGCCTCTGCCTCCCAAG